TCGGTGCTTTTATTTTAAAAAAAGTTTTTATTAATTAATTAGTAAAATAAAATTTTCTATATACAGATAAAAACTCGCATTATGTATATAAATTTTATAAATAGTAAAAAATTCGGTAAATTACTGTAGGCCTCTGTATAGCGATAGACTACGTTTTTCGGCTTTGTAAAAAAATTACTGCGTCAAAATCATTCGAGCAAAAGTGAGATCACCTGTTTAGACATGAATGGTTATCATTTCACAATAACCCTAGTTATGAAGTCATTCATCACGTGATTTTCGGCTAAATCTGAGCGAGATAAAATTTCCTAAGATTCTTCTAGAAACTACTTGAAATTTTTCCTCAGAAATCATGTATTATTTTTTAAAGATTTCAATTATTCAACATACCAGAACATGCGAGAATTCTTTCAAATGTCCACTTTTTGAGAATGTATAAATAGGCCTTGAATCCTATCCACCTTTTTCATCAATAAACGAACGAAAAACCAAAACGGATCACAAAAATTTTCATTTGTACTTTAATTTATAATTTACAATGACGACAATCACCAACTACGGCTGGGATACTCCTTTTACTACTTCCATCTTCGATGATTTCATTAAAGAATGGCCCAGACGGGTTAATAGTCGTGTGAATACTTGGGCTCCTCCAATGGACGTTCACGAAAATGATAAAGAATTCACAGTTAAAACCGAATTACCGGTATTTTATTTATCTTATTTTAATTTAATTTTATCATATCTTTCTCCGTTTTATTAATTTCAAATATTAATTTTTTGTAGGGAATGAAAAAGGAAGAAATAAACGTTGATGTTCGTGACAACGCACTTGTAATTTCTGGTGAAATTAAACAAGATCAGAAGTTTAAAGAAGGAAATACTCACGTTCAAGAACGTCGTTATGGTTCTTTTTCACGTTCAATCGCGCTTCCATCGAATGTTAAACCCGAAGATATTTCAGCCAAGTTTGAAAACGGTCTTCTTGAATTGGTTCTTCCAAAGACAGCTCCTACTGGCAAGAAAATTACCATCTCTTAAAAAAAGCTTATATGAATTAGTTAAAATGTATATTTTATTAGAGAAATATTTTTTGTAAAATTTTATTTATTATTTCAATTTGTCAAGAAAACATTATTACATGTTATACTTTTTCCTTTAATTAATAAAGAATTTATAAACTAAGATGGTGCGTTCCAATTGACAAAGCTTATTTTTGTCGTCTGATAGTTTTTTACGTAAGTTATAATTTCCTGTGCTTTTTAAACGTGTTAGTTCAGTTAATTGAAATAAAGAAATTCAGAATTTAGATAAAACTCGAAAGTTACAGGGGGCAAAAAGTAAGGAAATGATCAAAAATTATTTTATTGCATTGTGCGTTAATTTATATGTTTAAACGCAAGTAGTTGTAACGTAAGTGTAGGAAAAACTTACGGTAATACAGTCCTCTATAGCGAATTTTTTTTTAGCAACTTATTAAAGAACTCAATTTAAATATTGAAACAAGCATTATAAAATGACTTTTAATATAGCGAAGACTTTATGTAGAGATCAAATAAGTGTCGTTATTATATTACTTGTAATTATCGAAATTTTTTGTCAAGTTGCTATAAATCAGTTTTCATATGATTTGATTTTAAGGTTTCACATCATTAAGGTATCTATATAAATATATTGTGGACCTATTTGGACTTGATCCTGGGACCTATTTGGATCTGATCTTGGGACTTATTATATAAAAACTTAATCGGACCTGGTTTGTTGACTGTAAGACAATCACAATACCATTTAGTTATTAGTTTCAAACCAACATATTATCACCTAAGCTCTGACCATCGGTACGCGTATTTTTCTTGGTGACGAATTCGATTTCCGACAATAAGAATGACTTGAAGATGATGATTGTAGTTGAGATGAATTTACTACATTGATTGTAGATCTTAACCTTTTCTACATAAAATAAAAATAATGAGATTACATTG